ATTTTAAAGTATACGAGTCCTCCTGATCTTGATCCTTTGATTCATGGTCGGAAAGTTGAGCAGATATCTCATTGCTAGACAGGAGATGTCTCCCGTTCATCCCAAAATAACATGAATGGCTTTAGTTTGCACCTTTTTAATCTTTCAATCTATGGAGAGCTGATAGTGTAAGGATGGCCATAGTATACTCAATGAGAGAAAAGACCAGCCCATAGAAAAGAAGTACTAGTTGTCTTTGCTCAATATTAGAAGCTGATATTACCCTCACTGCTGACAGACCTTTGCCTGTTTTTGTTATCACATGGTTGACATGTTCCTTGAAGAACAAGCTACAATCAAACTGCATTCCCAGGTATCTAATCACGTTGGTTCTGATCAAAACGTCATCACCTATTTTTACTATTAGCAAGTCCGTCTTGACAATGTGATTGTTTGGACAGAACCATGTCGCTGATGCCTTTGAAGCACTGACATAGGCATTGGAATCAACATACCAGGAGGAAATTCTTCTGAGATCGTTGTGCATTTTGTTGGCGATCTCCTGTCTGACTCTTCCCTGTCGATATATTAAAATAGCAATCAGCAAATGACTACGTCCTTCCCTTTCCACCCAGTTGCTGCTCAGTGATCATTACCGTATATACATTGAACAAAACTGGTGACAGTGGTGAACCCTGCAACAACCCTGGACAAATTTATTTTAAGTTATGAGGACCACCTACCACACCTGAGTACTACCTTTCTCTGGAACAAGGCAGCAGCAATCCAGCAGAATAAAATGGGATTTACTTCCAGTCTGAAAAGTAGGTGCATTATCTTCTTCTTTTGTTCGCTTTAAGTAGATTATCTATATCTGCAATGTTGTCTCTAGTATGAACTTCACTGTCTTTTGTAATTCACTCAGTGACCAGTAGGTGCATTAGATACAATCAGATGGCTACTGGTGCCATCTTAATTGGAACTCTTTGCCTGATGCTGAAGATGGGGACGGAGCACTTTTGGGAGTGTCCTGAGGGCTGTGATGTTGATTCTTTATTCAACATTCATTAGCCATGCCTTATCGACCAAGGTGGCTGCAGCCATCTTTCCTGCCTTCTGCGATCAGCTCTTGTTTTCCTCAGTCTGATTTTGCTGATGGTTATTCTCTTCGCCGCCAAAATGGCACATGGTACCCCAGTGTGCTCCACTTGCATCTTAATGCAATGGTAGGAAACACCAGTGCCAGGTCTAGACATTGTCAGAATCGCCATGTCGATTTGCCATTCTGGTGACCTTTCCCTTGTTCAATACACACTAGGTGGGCAGACACTACATGTCGATTTGCCATTCTGGTGACCTTTCCCTTGTTCAATACACACTAGGTGGGCAGACACTAAGGCATCTTCCAAGTCTTTGTCCTGATTATTAGTAATGACGTTACCCCATTGTCTACTTCTGGCACTGAAGCCCCTACAGTAGACAATGTTTTTCCTCCGCCAGAGCAAATTTTGCCACTTTCTTACGCCCACCTTCCCGTTGCAGGCATACACATTTACAATCACAAACTGGGCTGGGGCCAACACCCTGAATGCCTGTACTTGCAAGTCATCACTATTATATTCAGACATATCCACCTCAGACACTGATATATTGTCGCGAACAATAATTACCTGTCGGAGATGCCGTATGTTTTTAGATGCAGTGAAAACCTGCGAATCTAACTGTCTCTTCGCCAAGATATGTTTCTCGCAAGACAATTATGTCATTCTCGTAAAGGAATTTTTCTAAAATGGGTCAGCATTGATTGAACGAAGCACAGTTCCAATACAGTTTGCGAACATACTTAAAGCTGAGTCTGTCACATTTCAGTCGCTTCCTGCAGATGCCAGCATGCTTGCCTGTTTTCATTCTCCTTTTCTGTCGATTGGTCGTGTTGACTGGATAAATTGTCACCACAGGACACTGAATACACATTGAGGGAAGGCTGAACCCACGTGCATATACTCCACTGAATGGTTCAGATCCCACTCGGATGGGAATATCACAGTGAAACAAGCAGAAACAGCAATATTACGGCCTTCACCTTAAAGAACGAAAAAAGCTTGCTGCCATCTTGCCTGTTTACACCATAAGCCATAAAGTCAAAACAAATGCAATAAATATTTTGTGAACACAAAAAATACCAATTACCAAATTACCATCATCATCGTCACTTGTATAACTGTATATTTATTACTGTATTCCTGCATGTTAACAATATAAATAAATGACATTTAAAAAAAAAAAAAAAACATGTAGGCATGCACTGCACCTTGTATACATATTTTGTTATCTTGTATAAAAGTGTATGTAAAAAAATAGTATGTTACACCAGCCTGGAATGACTGTTACATTTGACATGATAATAACTTTATTTGAGGTTAAACGGGTATCTGGAGTTTGATCTGGTGATCTACCATCCAGACTTAAACTGTATATTCTCAGGATACCTGGACAAGAAAAATAGGAGATACGGCATGTGTAACAATGATGCACTAGCAGAAACAGAACTATTTACCAAAATGTTGGAAATAATAATAGATTTGTTGGAGATAAGATAGTGATGTGTCGCTGTTGTTGAAAAAAAATTGTTTCCTTGATTTCTTTGACTGATGTGTAATTATGGCTTAAAAAGTAGAAAATTAAAAAAGTACATTTAAAAACATTTTATACAGTAAGCTTTTATTTCAAATAAATACAATAAATATTGACTAAAAAGATTTTAGAAACATCAGTCATATAGTTTAATGGGAAATATGATGAAATAATTCTTTTCACAAAATTCATCTATAATTGTGTAAACAGCATGTTAGAATTAAAACAATTCAGAAACCTACAATACGTTTTTACCCACACTTAAAAAAATTGACCTTTGTTGTCCCACCCTGGGAAATTACAAGACCAGAAATGAACTGCCAGCCAGCAGTTATTCAAAATAAGAATGCAATATCAGAAATTCTGAAGGAAGAAGCCGTTTGGCCACACACCATACAAATCCAAAAACAGCAGTCACATATGGTTCAAAAGGGGAAGATGATAGTTGAGGAACAGGAATATATATCCCAAAATGGAAAATAAGAAAGAATTTCAATGTGACAAGCAACATTTCAATATTTGCAGTGGAAATGGTTGCTGTTCTGAAACCTGATAATTTTAATAGAATCCCTATCTAAAAATTAAAAATTCCAAGATATGTAACAGAAATTACATCTCAACCTACCTATAATCAGGACTATGCTCATTACTAATTATGTGGGTACCAGACATGTGGGAATTGGTGTAAAAATAAAGGCCAGACAAAGAAGCAAAAAATAATAATAATAATACTTGTAGCTATAAGCAGGTATGATTTTAATAATTATAAAATAAAAAAGAATAACAATAATGGAGAGAGATGTAGAATGGAAGTTAAAGGGAAGGCATGCAAACAAACTGTTTAACCCTTTAGAGACAGAGCTTTTTTGGAGTTAAAGTGCTAAAAATACAAAGTCTTCATTGAAGAATTCTCTTAGTTTACAAACACACTTTTTTAAAAATAAAGCGTGCAATTAACATATACAAAACTATATATATTTGGGGAGAAAAATTAATGAACTAGCAGAATATGTATGAATCAAACTGAAATCTCAACATTTATTCAAATTAACTATTACGATTTGCATAATTTATGCAGGCATTTTTTTTTTAACTTGGAATCAAACACAACTAACCTAAAAAATTATAGGTGGATTTTTTTTTTAATGGATGAAGCCTGAATAAGTCCCAAGACTTGTGTTTTTGAGAAATAAGGCCCATGGAGGCCATTCAGACACTTCTGACACATGGTTCTACTCATTTTCATACCTTTTACTACGTTACGGTTGCTATGACGCAACAGGCCTTTTCGCCGTCATTGGGTACAGGTAAGCTTAATACAAAAATATCATCATCATCATCAGGTGCCTTGCCGACTGGCGTGGGCGATCATGCCTCTCCATAATCTGCGATCTCCTGCAGCATGTATCAGTTCGTGTGCCGACACACCTCCATGCCATGCAACAAGACTGTCAAGCATCTTCTCTCGTTGTCTTCCTCTATCCCTCCTTCCACAGATCTTTTCAGTGGTCACAACATGTTCTATTTTCCCTCTTCTCATAACATGGCCGAAAAATGATGACTGTCTCCTTCTGATGTCTGTGATAAGTTGTCTTCCGGCTCCCGCCTCTTTCAAAACCTCTTGGTTGCTCTTTTTGGCTGTCCAAGGTATTCTAAGCATTCTCCTGTAAAACCACATCTCTGAGGCCTCTAAAAATTTTCAACATGAAAGCAATTAGATAAAATAAATGAAAATGTAACCTCACTTTACCTTGCTGGGGAGAGTGGTGAGTGCTTACTAGGAGGGAAATGAGGAGGGAGAAGGAGATGCTATTGTTTGGAAGGAGAGTCACCTAGTATTAAAACTTTTGTTTTGGAAATGTGATGTTTTCTAGTCATTCCAGACAATGCTTTTACAGCTTGCTTGTGATTTCTGGGGCAGTACTTCTCTGCAAAGTTTTTGACATCTATTCATTTGGCAAACTTTTCCTTGATTCACGAGAAAGGTAAATAAGGATAGCCCTTGGTAAATTGGCTCATTTTGACTAAATATACAAGTTCTAGCACATAAGTCGTATTCCAAACTGTGCATACCAAACAACATTTATTGCATTTAAACAGGATGTATTTGGTGAATGTATACTGTAACACTGTACTATGTAATTATATGTACATTAAGATCAAGGGCAGCCCATGCTTTCATTAGTTATGACATAACATATAACCATACAACATGGCTGAATTCTGTTTATAGAATTATTTCAATCTTTTGTGTCCATTAAACCATATAATAAATTATTATTATCTTTTTAGTGCAATAATTATTCTTTGCATTTGAAACGAATGCTCATTTTTTATTATTATTCTAATTTTTTCTGATGAAAACCATAAAGACAACATGTTCCTACCTTGTTCCTTGTCTCTTCTGCTGATCTTCTCGAGAGCTCTCCATGGGGAGATTCTGACCCAATTCAGCCATTTTTTTTCTGAATTCAAGACTGTTTCTTTCAGGTTTCTCAGTAACAGTTCTTCATCAGATGTTTGATAAAAGACCTTGTAGTGTTTACTCACAAGTGAAGAACACACCTGAATTTAAAATATGGAAAACTGAGAAGTGCTAATTTTAAAAACAAAAGCAACAAAAACAAAGATCTGCAAAACAGAAAGACAGAGAAAAATGATTAAATAGTATTTAACAGGGTTGTAATAATAGATGCAAGACCATCATAGGAAGACAAAGACAGTGTACTGTCCTTCAATGCAAAACTAGTTAATATGCTCTAGTTTTGGACTCACAGAAACCTCATGCTAAATCTTACTGCAGTACTGATTCTACCATTCACAATAGACTGCAACTGTTTAAAGCTTGGTAATGAGAGGAATTTGACTGCTTCAAGTGTACTCTTTTGAATAAACTTTCACAAGAGTAAAACTATGAACTATGCTATGCAATTATACAGCCTGTGTAGAGATGATAGTTTGCAGCCTAAAGGAGAATATAATCTTGTTAGGTTATAATGACAGACTCAGCTGCACAATGGGCATTCATTTTCATGCGTGCTCAGTGCTCTTATGCAGCAGCCATCCAAAGGTACCTCTACTGACTGTTCTCATGCAAAGTTGGTTACAACTCCTATTGTGACCTCAAAGGCAGTGTAATCATGCTTTCTTTGCAGGTCATGTAGTCAGGTTAGCGTAGAGATTCATATTAACCATCAGTCAATATAGCGTTGATTAGCTCTGTCCATGCTTCTTCCTGCTTGTATATCTTACTTGCCAGCTGGTCTACCCGTTAATTACCTTTTACACTGGAAACATAAAAGAACTGGAACTAGTGCTAAATGTTTATAGATAAACATGTAAGATTTCTTTCCAACCAGCAAGTGATTCAGTTTGTTATCATGTTAACATCCGAAAACTGAATATACTAAGGGAATCCGGAAACTTACTGTCTTACCTATATTACCAAACCAGTTCTTTCATTCCCTTTACCCCAACAGTCTTATTTATATTGTCACACTAGTTCTATCACTCCCTATAATCTCACTAGCCATATTTTCAATATTTCAACTCTCATTCCCCACTCTGTAACAAGTCCTATCTATAGTATCCCACCAGTTCTACTGCTCCCTTTATCTGATCAGTCTTTTCTTGACTGCCCTTCTAGTTATATCACCCCCATTATCTGTCTCACCTATACTGTCCCTTCAGAACCCCAGTATATAATTAGTGGGTACTTGGATACTGTTCCCCTAGTTCTATCAACCTCTTTATCTCACTAATCTTTATTATACTGTCCCACCAGTTATATTACCTCCCTTATCTCACTAGCCTTATCTATCCTGTCCTACTATTACTATCACCCCCTTTATCTCACTAGTCATCTATACTGTCCCACTAGTTCTGTCATCTCCTTTATTTCATTAGTCTCATCCATACTGTCCCATCATCCCCTTTATCTCACTAGTCTTACCTTTAATGTCCCACTAGTTCTATGACCCCCTTTATCTCACTAGTCTTACCTATAAATGTCCCACTAGCTCTATTACTTTAGCACTAGTTATATCACCCCCTTATCTCACTAGTCTTACCTATGCTGTCCTACTAGTTCTATCACCCCCTTTATCTCACTAGTAATCTATACTGCAGCACTAGTTCCATCATCTCCTTTATCTCATTAGTCTCATTTATACTGCCCCATCTTTTATCACATAGACTATTTAGTAAAGTCTGGGAGACATAAGAAATACCAGCAGACTGGAGAGAAGGATATCTTGTGAATTTTCCCAAAAGTTGTGATCTACAGGAGTGTGAAAACTATAAAGGAATTATGTTGCTGTCAGTTCCTGGAAAAATATTAAGTAGAACTATTTTGGAAAGATTAAAAGAAGCTTTTGATAAAAAGCTAAGAGATGAACAGGCAGGTTTTCGGCCAAACAGATCCTGTACTGACCAGATAGCCACATTACGTATAATAATAGAGCAAAGCATTGAACTGAACTCACCCCTTTACATTGAATTTATAAACTATGAAAAAGCATTTCACAGCATCAATAGGGAATCTCTCTGGAAAACAGAGGGGAATCCCACAGAAAATTATTAACTTAATAAGGGCAACAAATAAAGACATGGAATATTGAGTTCTTCATGGGGTAAAGCTAACAGATACATTTGAAATAAAAACAGGTGTGCAACAGGGATGTCTTTTGTCGCCTCTTCTTTTTTTACTGGCTATAGACTGAATTATCAAGGCAGCAACTGCTAAAACCAAGAATTGAATTCAACGGACACCTCAAGTGGTTGGATTGCAGGTCTTGGTCAGATATGACTGAGCTACCGTAAAACAGTAGCCAGTACCACCTGTCTTCTGTTACGCCAGATGTTGGGCGGCGTATACTAACCCAACTTCTCATATTGTGCCAACAGCTTCAGGCAGAGGAGCGCATTAGGAAGGATACTAGCCTTATCCTAGGAAAAGGAAATGCAGCTTGAAAACTTTATGTTATGGCAGGGCAGACCATTCCCTTAGCCTTGGCTGGCAGGGAAGCTCTGACAGGCAGAGAAATAGAGCCCTGCTGTTCTGATCCAGCAGCTTCTGCAGCCTGCCTTGTTACAAATGTACTGGTTTTACCTTTCCTTTGGAGTAAACAAGGCAGGTCGAGGGAGGGACCATTTTGCAAGGGCAACATATGGTCTCTACAATACTGCCCAGGCTTTGAGTTATGGAGAGGAGGAACTTCATTCCTGGCCCTAATCGATCTCGGAAACAAATCGAGAGGCAGCAGTTACGGGTTATAAGTCCTTGTCAGTTGGCGTAGACGAGGGTGCCACGGGTTGCCTCTGACGGTGGGAGACATCTTCAAATGTCACTGATCAACTACCGCCCACCTCAAGCTGGGCAGCCCCCAGCCAATAAGGTGATGATCCGCCACAGCTTGTATGCTTCAATGGGTGCTTGGAGCTAGGACAAAATCTGAACTGCAGGCTGTAAACCAATGCACCAGGCTATAAAAAGAATCATAACTCCAAGCTTCGACTTGGCTCTTGGAACGTGAAGACCATATGTCCCGTGTTTTCCACTGGCCTGGAAAACATTAATGATGTGAGCAAATCGGCTATAATTGATGCAGAACTCAACAGACTTGACAAAGATATCGCTGGCCTACAGGAAACCCATCTGCCAGAGTATGGGGCTATTAGAGAAAATAGTTATAGATATTTCTGGAAAGGCAGAGGCCAGGAAAAAATCAGGATGTATGGAGTGGGATTTGCACTAAAGAATTCACTGTTAGGATCAGTTGAGTCCAGCTGGAGGAAGTGACAGAATAGTATCCCTACGATTGTCTACCTCAAGCAGTTGTATTACCCTTGTTACTGCATATGCACCCACTCTAACATCAACAGGGGACGCGAAGGATTCTTTTTATGAGTAACTCGATAATGCAGTGAAATCAGTTCCTAAATCTCACAGTATCTATATACTTGGTGATTTTAATGCTCGTTTGGGGTTAGACTCTACTTATGGCCAGTTTGTTTTGGAAAATATAATGTTGGCCACATGAATGAAAATGGGCAGAGACCACTGGAATTCTGCACTAGAAGTTACTTGTGCATTACAAACTTCTTTTTTAAAACTAAAGACTGCCATAAGGTGTCATGGCAACATCCAAGATCTGGCCACTGGCACCAGCTTATTCTCACAAGGAGGCAGCACTTGAACTGTGTATCACTAACTGGCAGCTACCACAGTGATGACTGTGATACTGACCATTCCCTAGTTGCTGCAAGAGTTCAGATGAAACCAAAGAAATTTTCACTTAAAAAAACAAATATATCCCTAGGTTAAATATTTCCAAAACTAAAGATCCTGAAAAGTGTTTTGAGTTTTAATAACAGCTTGAAAATGCTTTCACTGATATCCAGGATAACTCTACAGCAAGCCTAAAATAGGATGCAATTAAGGAATCTGTTTACAGAACAGCTGTATTAGTCTTTAAGATTAGAGAACATAGAAGTAAGGACTGGTTTGAAGCAAATAGCCAGACTCTCCAACCTTTAATTGACAGCAAAAAGGTAATACTCCTCAAAAACAAGGAAATAACAAAAAGGAACACTCTCATTGAATTAGGAGCAGCTAGAAATCATTTGCAAAAGGTAGCTCGGCAGTGTGCCAACAACTGATGGATCCAGTTATGTGAAAGCATTCAAAATGCTAGCAGTAGTGGTAATTTTAGAGTCATGTATGAGGGGATGAAGAAGGCCATCAGTCCTACTATTTAAAAAAGTGCACCACTAAAGAGCTTGAATGGGGAGATTGTTAATGACAAGAAGCATTTAGATAGATAGGTGGAACATTATCTGGAGCTATATTCAGTTGATACTAAACTAACAGATGGTGTTCTTAATGCCATGAATATGCTACCAACTCATGACTATCTGTAATTTCCAACATGTGTAGAAGTTAGAAGTGCTATTGATGAATTGGTTTCAGGAAAAGCTCTAGGCAGAGATGGAATTCCTATTGAAATCATCAGGAGTGGGAAAAACATTCTAACTTCACACATTCATCAGCTAATAACACTCTGCTGGCAAGAGGGAGAGGTTCTGCAAGACTTCAAAGACACAAGCATCATAACTATTTATAAGAAGGGTGATCAGAGTGACTGCAATAACTACAGGGGAATATCACTGCTGTGTACTGTTGGAAAAGTGCTTGCAAGAATTGTTCTGCGAACGACTCCAGATCATGGAGGACCGCTTTACCTAGAGTCCCAGTGTGGCTTTCAGGGAAACCGATCTACCACTGATATGAAATTTTCATTATGACAGTTGCAGGAAAAATCACTGTATGTTGCTTTTATTGATCTTACCAAGGCATTTGATTTGGTTAGTCGAAAAGGTCTGTTCAACGCAGTGAAGGGTGTCCACCTTCTCTACTGAGCATTATTGAGTCGTTCCACACAGGTATGAAAGGTACAA